ACTTAAGCATTTTTTCCTTCTAGTTTCGCAAATCATCAATGTGTCTGACTTTCTTTGTGAGTCTTGTCAACTTGGAAAACAACATAGAGCTTCTTTTTGCTCCCAGTTTGAATAAAAGCTTCGTTCCTTTTTCTTTAATACATTCTGATGTTTGGGGTCCCTCTCGTGTTCTTGTCTGTGAGAGGTCAATCGCTGGTTTGTTACCTTATTGATGATTTTTCTCGTGCTACTTGGGTGTGATCTCCATGAAAGATAAGAGTGAGGTTTTCTCTGTGTTTCGCACTTTTCATCACGATGATTGTAACTCAGTTTGGGGCCACTAATCAAAATATTTTCGTTCTGATAATGGTGGGGAATACATAGATTCTGGGTTAGGACAATATTTCTCTACTCATGGCATTAATCCATCAGACCTCTTTGCACCAATACCCCTCAACAAAATGGGTGGCCGAACGCAAGAATCGGCACCTTCTTGACATGGCTCGGTGCATGTGTTTTTTATGAATGTACCTCGGCCCTATGGGGCGACGCTATCTCACCGGCTGCCCAATCTTATTGATCGCCTCCCTACCCAGGTCTGGACAAACAGGCTCCGCTTCAACGTCCGTCTCGGTTCTCCGTCCTTCGTTTTCTATTCCTCCAAAATATTTGGTTGTGTCTGTTTGTGTCCATAATCACTCTCCCTCTCGTGTAAGTTGGAACCCTCGCTCCCTCAAGTGTGTTTTCCTTGGTTACTCTCCCCTAACTCAAAAGGGGTATAAATGTTCCCACCCTTCTTCTCGTAAGTGGTTTGTGTTCATGGATGTCACTTTCTTTGAATCCCAGTCCTATTTCTTGTCCTCTCCGGTGTCACCGTCCTCATTTCGCGGGGAGCCTTGGTGTGAGTGAGTCCTGTGCCTCCTATGGTGAACCAGTTGTTTCTTGGCACCACCCTCTACTCTGTGCTTCCTATGGTGGACCAAGTTGTTCTTGAACCCCTCTCTTCTACTGGGACTATAGAACCCACTGTCACCAAGAATAGACGGGCATGTTTATGTCCGGGACATAGACAGAAAACAAGTTAACTGGATACACGGGACCGTTTCTGCTACCCCACTGCCATCTCCTGCTTCTGATGAGAGTCGAGGTAACTTTGAATCTCTCGAGTCCATTGATCTTGATGTTCCTATTGCCAAAGGAAGGGTGTGAGATCTTGTACTCAACATCCTATCTCACAGTTTGTATCATACTCTCATTTGTTCATCCTCAATTAGAGCGTTTGTGTCCAATATTTCCTCTGTTAGCATTCCTAACCATTTTCAGGATGCTCTTGCTACCTCTGAATGGAAACTAGCCATGATTGAGGAAATGAAAGCACTTAGGAAGATGAACACTTGGGAATTGACTGAGTTACCTCCGGGCAAATGACCTGTGGGATGTAAATGGGTATATACTGTGACAAAGGTGGGTCTATTGAGCGTTACAAAGGCAAGACTTGTGGCAAAAGGGTTTACTCAGACATATGGCATTGATTATCAGGAGACCTTCGCACCCGTGGCTAAAATGAATTCAGTCAGAATACTTCTCTCTCTAGCAGCTAATCTAGATTGGCCGCTTTATCAGTTTGATGTCAAGAATGCTTTTCTCCATGGTGACCTCGAAGAAGAAGTATATATGGACATTCCTCCGGGTTTTCGAGGATCATCAAACAGAAGGCAAAGTATGCAAACTTCAGAAGTCATTATATGGTCTCAAACAGTCTCCAAG